CCATTCTCCTCATGGGATTTGGGGTAGTCACATATATGCACCCAGCATGATTTTCAAGCCACCAGATCCAGGACTAGAAATGTGGTTGACCACATGGGAGTCCAGTGCCTTGACTACCATGCTACCTGCTTGCCCTTATAATTTTTTCTTAAATACCAGGCTTTGGGCCAGTCCCAATGACTTTGGGCAGTCATTCAGCCCTGTGCATAGGGAGCTGGATCCAACACAGCCCACTGTGGTTGGAATCCTTGCCCATGTAGCTTGGAAAACATGCCAAGAAACTGGGGGGGGGGCAAAATCCTAATAGGATGCAGATGTGGACAAAATGGGACTGGAGTGTGACCGTAATCTATTGCCAAATGCCTTCCCTTTCTCTTTGGTGAGTGCATATGCCCTCTGGCAATAAAAAAATGCCAAGCATTATGTATGAAAAAGAGTAGCAATTCTACATGTCTTTCTACAACTTTTGTTATTTTGTTATCAAAGTTTTCATTGTCAGAGGACACACTTGCTTGCCCCAGTAAGAAAGAGAAAGCACCCCCTTTCCTCTCACATGGGGTAGTCACGCTTTAATCCCTTCTCCTGCATTTCTCCATCCTGTTTGGGCCCACATGCATACTTACCATACAGGATCCAACTATGCACAGCTCATAACTGCTGCTGTCCTAGGTTGACCCTGCTTGTTTTTTGAAAGGCAAGTAGAATATAAATAAAAAAAGTCTTATTTCATTGGAGTGCAAAAAAATCAGGTTTTGCCTGCAGAGCTGTTTTTAGAATTTTTTCCAATTTTTATCATTATCTGATTGTAGGAGGTTTTATCCATTACAAGCTATAATTCAAAGGCCAAAACTAGAAATTCCCCTTCCCTCTTATTCCTTGTGTAAATCCTTCTGAGCAAGTTGTCAACTCATGTACTCCAATTTTTCTGAAACGACTTTTATTAGGGGGAAGCCGCGTGGATGCAGAAGCAATAGCAGTGGCTTAGCCCTTCCCCAGCCCTCCTACTGTGTGACACACAGTAACCGGCAGGTGTGGGCAGACTCCAGAGAGTAGATTCTGATGCTTGCCCATGGGTATGCGAGAGGCACAGCTGGAGAATCAGCAGCTCTGCCACCACAATTACGACTCGTTCTGAGCATTTTGAAAATAGCTTTGCAACTTGGGAAAATCTTGCATTTCCCTTATTCTGCCACCTCGATGTTTTTACCAAAGAAACCACCAGTCTCAACTCTTACTGTCTACGTTGGCAGAAAATGTCTGAATTTGCATACTATGCAAATTAACTGCTTAAAGCTTCTATTGTTGCTATTACTTTGGAGACTTACAGAAGCTTTTGGTCAAGTTAATTCTTCTCTCTCCTTCTAATCTTGACTTCTAAGAGTGGCTGATACTCATCCCACTCCATAAGCAAAAAACTTCCCACGAGAGCTGTGAGGCTGGATCCCATAGCAGACAGCCACTAGAGGGGAGGCAGCTCTAGCTAGCAGGCAGAAATCCGGAAACCACAGCGTTCTTGCTTTCACAGAAGAATGGAGGCGGGGAATCTGCAAATCCAGAGCTTTTCTTCTTCTTCTTCTTTTTTTTTAAGGTTTTTGCCAGAGGGCATGTGTGAGACAAAAGAGAGAAAAATGGGGAATCAGCAGTTAGCGTAATGGCTATGTCACTGGATTCTCACGTAGTCGACCGCGGTTCGCGTCCCGGACCCGGTGGCTTAGAACTCACGCCGGGCGCGTGTGCGTGCGTGCCCAAGATCCCGAGAGGAGAATGGAGGAGAAGGGATTGCGGCGTGACCATCCCCCCTGGGGGGGGGGATTTCTCGCTTTCTGTCTCTGTGTCTCTCTCTGTCTGTCGGGCGAGCACACGCGCCCTATAGTGAAAAACCTCTCAAAAAAAAAAAAAAAAAAAGAGAGAGAAAAATGGAAAGTGAGAAATCACCCCATGGTAGGATTGCCATTACAATCCCTTCTCTTCCATTCTCTTCTCCGGATTTTGGGCACACATACGTGCTGGGGTTGAGTTTCAAGCTGCCAGGGCCAGGAGCCAGCTGTGCTCACCCAGGAGTGAGTCCAGTGTCTTAACCACTCGCTGGCTCCATTCATAGCTTTCCTTAAACTGACCAGAGATCTGTGATTACAGGACAATTAATTAAAGCTGGAATCTAAGGAAACTGGCACCTCCAAAGAAAGATGGAACATAAATTTTTGCTTATTTGGGGTAAACATTTAACTGGTGTAAGCTGTTGTAACAATCTGGCTAAATTGTTTTAAAAGTTGGTCTTTGCATAAATGCACCGAACACCTGGGAGCTGCCCATACAGGGTGAGTCACACCCACTTACAGCACTTTACAAACCTGTCTGGAAGCTGAAAGACTGAGAGCAGGTTAGGAATAGGAATCTTTTTTTTTGGAGAGGTTTTTGCTATAGGGCGCATGCGCTCGAAAGAAAGAGAGAGACAGAGAGATAGAAAGCGAGAAATCACCCCCAGGTGGGATGGCCACGCCACAATCCCTTCTCCTCCATTCTTCTCTCAGGATCTTGGGCATGCACGCACATGTGCCCAGCATGAGTTTAAGCCACGAGGTCCAGGACTCGAACCACGGTTGGCTACATGGGAGTCCAGAGACATAGCCATTATGCCAACTGCTGGTCCCCAGGTTAGGAATCTTTAGAAAGTTTTCCTGATGTTGCTTGCATAGGGAAGATCAGAAGATCAATAGCAACCATTGTATGAAAGACAAAGCTCCACCTGGAACCCTGTGTTGTATGTGTGTGTTTAATACAGAATACTTTTTAACAAAAGGATTATTTCATTTAACCTTATTTATTTTCATTTGACCAGAGAGGGGCAGAGTGCGAGAGCAAGAGAAAAAGGGCAAGTAAAAAAACAAGCCACTAGGTCTGGGACATGAACCACAGCCAGCCATGTGGGAATCCAGGGCCCTTAACCAACATTTTTAAAAGCCTTAAGTCGCTGTGAACAGAAAGAGCTCTCCCCCTCAGGCCATAAGCAAAGACTCATTGCAGCCAGAGAAATGACACATCCCGGGAGAGGCAGTAAAGCATCCTGAGTCGTAGTTACACTGGCTTCTCCAAGTCCTCCACTAAATTAAGCTCTAGGTACTCACAGTGGGACCTTGCTCAATAATGTACCCTGTCTCAAGCTTTGTTTCCCTCAGTATTTCTTTCACCTTCCAAATAAACTGCTTGTACTAGATTCCTCAGGTCCTAGTTCTCTAAATCTTATGTCTTTTTCCTCTACTCCTCCAAGTCACTTTTTCTTTTTAAATTTTAAGGAGTTATTTATTTATTTAATTCTATTTGTTGTTATTATTTTTTAATTTGACCAGAGACAGAAAGGGAGACAGAGGGAAAGCGAGAAAGCAAGCTGCCATCTAACACTTAATTTCAAGCTTTCAGCTCCGGGACTTGAACCATGGTCGAACATGTGGGAATCTAATACATTTAACCACCATGCCACCTGCTGACCCCACCTCTTATCACTTCTACTTCAGAAGTGAAAGGGCAGCAATCTTCCTTCACTCCTTCCTTCTTTTGTCTTAATACATGCACTTGATAAGCAGAGATTGATGCAGAGCGATCGACTGATATACATACAGTTTTCTTTTGTTTCATATTCCTTTTCTGTGCTCCGCGTCTGGGCTATATCACTAATCTGAAGCTTTGCAGAGAGGTGTAAGTAAGGGGAATAAATAGAAAAAACTCCAAAGCAAGCCCTGGAGAATTTAACAATTTTTTTTTTTTTGGAGAGGTTTTTGCTATAGGGCGTGTGTGCTCACCAGACAGACAGAGAGAGACAGAGAGACAGAAAGCGAGAAATCACCCCCCAGGGGGGATGGCCACGCCGCAATCCCTTCTCCTCCATTCTCCTCTCGGGATCTTGGGCACGCACGCACAAGCGCCCGGAGTGAGTTTTAAGCCACCGGGTCCGGGATGCGAACCGCGGTCGACTACGTGGGAGTCCAGCGACATAGCCATTATGCTAACTGCTGGTCCCGAGAATTTAACAATTAAAAAAAAAATGTTGGAATCTAAGTTGGGTTATCAGATAAAGTACAAGGTACCCAATTAAATTTGAATTTCAGATAAAAACAATTTACTCGGGGCCAGCAGATGGCATGGTGGTTAAGGTGTTGAACACTCCCACATGGCCAATCACGTTTGAGTCCTGGACCTGGTTTCTTGCTTTATTACTTTCTCTCTCTCTCTCTCTCTCTCTCTCTCTCTGGTCAAATTAAAATAAATGAATGAATAAATAGAATTAATTATTTTAAAAAATTACTTCTGGGACCAGCAGATGGCATAGTGGTTATGTGGTTGGACTCCCATGTAGTCAACCACGGTTCAAATCCCAGACCTGGCAGCTTAAACTTCACACTGGCATGTGTGCATGTGTGCTCAAAATCCCGAGAAGAAAACAGAGGAGAAGGGATTGTAGCGTGGCCATCCTCCCTAGGGGGTGATTTCTTGCTTTCTCTCTCTCTGTCTCTCTGGCAAGTGCATGTGCCCTATAGCAAAAATCTCTTTAAAAAATTTACTTTTAATGTAAGTAGTCTCCATACAATGTTTGTATTGTTGTCTTTGTGGTATTTGTTGTTAATCTGAGATTAAAACTGAACTAGTAAGTCTATATTTTAGTATGCTAAATGTGGCCACAATGTATCTCAGCCCATCATGGAGGACTGACTAGAAAAGCCCCGCCCTGCTGTGGTAGGACAGGTGGTAGGGCACTGCTGCGAGGTGAGAGAGCCCCATGGGAGGCTCCGGTGTCGGATCCCAGGTTGGCCTGAACACCCTGAGTGTATCTGCAGGTATGTCTATGATCCTGGGTGACTAGAAGGCTTGGAGAGATCACAGCTTGCTGAGATCTTGTCTCTTTCTCTTTCATAAGATAAATAAACTTAAAAAAATAAACATAAAGACTAATGTATACAGACAGCAAAAATCCTTTTATTGAAAAGGGAGGTTTATCCTTACCACCGCCCTCAAGAACACCCTTCCTCCCCTTTTGCACATGTGCGGGTCAAGCTACTCATTGTCCAGTACTGTGATTTTTCCCATAGTATTTATCAAATATCTAGGCTTCCAATTAAAACTTGGAAAACTATTGAAAGGCTTCAGGACTTCATTGTGCTTCTCTCACGGAAAAGCTGTCTGACGCTCTAGATGGCATCCTTCACAAGGCACGGAAAGCTTACTGAATGAAGCAAGAGCACAGGTACTGAGGTCTCTGCAAGGAAGTTTCCATCCCAGTTCCCATTCTCTGAAGAAAGGAGAGGAGCCGGAAAACGAGTTAATAATTAATCATTTCTATGCGACGATGGTCTTCATAAAAATCCCCAAGATCTTGCCTATGTATCTCTTCATCTAGCCACTCAGCTGTACCCTTTATCAAATACTTTACTAAAATAAGAAACTGATAAACGTAAGTGTTTCCCCGAGCTTTCTAAGCCACTATAGCAAATTAATTAAATACAAGAAGGGGATCATGGTGAGGACAGAAGTCTGACTGCTTTTTCCTGTTTTAAAAATCTCTTTCAGAGGGCCTGGGATGAGTTACACCCACAGACATTAACAGGCCATTTAGACCCATTCGATAACAAAAATCTTCCTAAATTTTCTTCCTAGTATAGTATTCCTGTAATGACTGAGTCACACCCACACTTATTAAGAGACCATTTTGACTCATTTATAATAGGACTGCTCCAGCGTCCTGTCCTTGGGACAGTATCTTGTGACTGTACACAAGCCCCCTTATCTGTTAAAGTACACTCTTCACTAACTCCTTCCTCAAACCTACAAGCCCTGCTTCCACATGTCCCACCTTTTTTGGGTCAGGCCAATGGAAAGCTCTTCAATCAATCGTCTCCTTCTCAAAACCAAATAAAAGAAACCCCTGTACCTGATCACTCTGAGAGAGAGAGGCATGTCTTGCTTCCTCTCCGGGTCTAGGTCACTCAAATTTGTACCTAAAATTAAACTGCATTAATTATTTTTGCAGAGTTGGTTATTTCCGTCGACAATGGTAACCCCTCCCAGCCCAGACTTGAGATCAACATCTGAAGTGAGGGCAGTTTTGTGGGACGGAGCCCTTACCCTGTGGGATCTGACTCTAACTCCAGGTAGATACTGTCGAAATTGAGTTGAATTATAGGACACACAGGTGGAGAAATTCTTGGCGTGTGGGGGAAATCCATGTATCTGGTATCAGAAGTAAAGTATTTAAGAGTGCTGTGAATGTAGTAGAACAGTTATTTTTTTCTATTATATAGTACAGTATACACACACACATAGGACCCTCCACAAATACAAAAACCTAAAGACACTCAAGTTCCTTCTCTAAAATAGCATAGAATTAGCATATAAGCCACACACATGTCCCAGTATTCTTTAAATCTAGGTTACTTATAATACTGTGGAAGTCATCAGAATCAAAATGGAGTCATTTGTGATGATCATGTTAAGTCCTGAGTAAACAGAGCCTTGGGAAGGCCATGGAGGGGCCAATATCAAGTATGCCTAATAAGAACTGCCACATGGATTCTGCTCACAATACAGCCTTGCACAAAGGTCACTGCAGTCTTACACAGAAAGTGCTTCTGCGATGGCATCTACCCAGACACTGCTGGTCTGACTAGTGCTGATGCCACCCTCGTCAAGGACAATGGTAGCCACAGATAACTGTCCCCAAACAACCTATGTAGTCCCTCCTGTACTTCCTTGAGTATAATTATAGTTTACTATGGCAAATATTCTTCGGCATTGCGATGCCTATTTCCAAATAAACATTTTTCTTCTAGAGGGTCTATTCCTCTGCTTTCTTTTTAGAGACTGACGATACTTAAGACAATGTAAATGCTATGTAATAGTTACTATACTATATAATTTTATTTGTATTATTTTTATTTATTTATTTATTTATTTATTTATTTTTAAAAGATTTTTTTCCCATAGGGCATGTGTACTCACTGGAGAGAGACAGAGAAAGAGGAAAAGTGAGAACTCAACCCCCAAGGGGGATGGCCACACCACAATCCCTTCTCTTCCATTATTGTCTTGGGATTTTGGGTATACACACACATGCCCAGTGTGATTTTCAAGCTACTTGAGTCTGAGATACCTACTGCCGAAGTTGGCCATGTGGGATTCAGTGCCTTAACCTCCACACCACGTGCTAGCACAATTGTTTTGAGTTGTTCGAATTGTTGTATTGTTAGTATTTATTTATTTATTTATTTATTTATTTATTATTTCAGGTTTTTGCCATAAGGTGAATACCCTCACTCAGAGAAAGAGACATAGACAGTGAGAGGGAAATTGAGAAATCAGCCCCAGGGAGGATAACCACACCACAATTCCTTCTCCTCCATTCTCCTCCTGGGATCTTGGACATGCAAGCACATGTGCCTGACATGATTTTCAAGTTACCGGTCCGGGTCTGGGACGAGAACCACGGTCGGCCATGTGGGAATCCAGTGACGTAACCCCTTCCCCATCTGTCTCTATTCATTATTTTCTATCTGCAGTTAGCGAAATCACAGATGGGGAGCCCGCAGAATCAAAAGGCTGACTATACTCTTCTCTATGAGGGAGCGATTGGGTGTATGTATACACGGTACATCGTTTTTATGTGTATAAATTTCATTTTCAAGTTTAATTAAATAATGCCATGGTTCATTTCAGTTTGACATGTGCTAATTCAGTATGCTTATCTATATTTGCAGTTTATTTACCGTAACTAATTGCATAAATTGCAAACCTCATTGTTAGTTTTCCAGTGCACGAATCACTGTGGACATAATGTGTGCATTGTGATTAGTGACTGACCAGGTCGTTCTTTCTAAGTTTGTCAATAATTGGCCAGCACCCAAGTGTCACCAGTTCACAGACAGGAGCACGCAGAGTTGGACTGCCTCTTGTATCGCAATCTTAAACCTGTGAGGCATTTTACAAAATAAATAAACAAAAAAGCTTAAAATGAAGCAAAAGTAATGATGCTGAAAGTGAAAATCAAATAGAAGATAAACAGGGTTATAGAAGAAATAACAGATGATAGGGGTATTGCTACTTCCCCGTTTGAAGAGACTGGAGATATACAGCTAAAGGAATTTAGTTAAGGGAAATTTATCAACAAAAATTTAAAAAGTAGTTGTAATTAAAATGATAACCATGTTTCAGAAGGTTATACTGGAAAAAAGTCTTCACATTCAATGAATCCTTGGAGATATTTTATGACTTTCCAAAGGTAAAAGATAAAATGTTGGAAGTGCGCACAGACTTGGAATATGAACGTTTTAGAAGACATTGAAAACATGCTTCTTCATTTTGTAAATCGTACAAGAAGGTAGACACTATTTGAACTATTAAAAATTGGTTTTTGGAGGGACCAGCAGTTAGCGTAATGGCTGTTGCTGGACTCCCATGTAGTCGACCGTGGTTCTAGTCCCAGACGCTGGGCGAGTGTGCCTGCATGCCCAAGATCCCGAGAGGAGAAGGGATTGAGAGGAGAAGGGATTGCAGAGTGGCCATTCCCCGTGGGGGGTGATTTTTCGCTTTCTATCTCTCTGTCTCTCTCTGTCTTTCCAGTAAGCACATGCTCCCTATAGCAAAAACCTTTTTTCTCTGAAAGTTCTCTTTAAAATCTCTACCAATAAGCAGAATATTTGAATGCCTCGGCTTTCTAATGTTTTCATTACAATGTACTTTAACAGTATTAGTTTCTGTTTTTATCTTGTTCATTTTTTTAAAAACTTATTTTTAATTTATCCAGAGAGGGGCTGACCGAGAGAGAGCGGCGCAAGTGAGAAAACAAGCTGCCAGGCTCAGGACTCAGTTGGCCATGTGCGAGTCCAACACCCTTAACCACCGCGCCACCTGCTGGGCCCAGTTTCCCTGGCTTTTAAAATTCCCCTATCCATTTATGAGAGAGAATAAGAGACTTTTCAATATTTCAAAAAGAAAAATTAAAACTCAAGGAAAACGATAACATTTGCTGTAAATTACTAAGACAGTGCGGTATGATTCCAGCTGGCATGATAACGTTTGGAGTCCTCAGTAACGCTCAAAGTGAGCCTGCTCCATTCACATACCAGGAAAACAGAAAAGCAATGGCTTCATCTTCCCAGATTTCATCCAGCAGCAGGTAAACAGAACGCAGAGGTTAAAGAGGACGACCAGGGAACCAGCAGTTAGCCTAATGGCTATGTCGCTGAACTCCCATGTAGCTGACCTGGTTCGAGTTCCAGACTCGGTGGCTTAAACTCATGCCAGGCGCGTGTGCGTGCGTACCCAAGATCCCGAGAGGAGAATGGAGGAGAAGGGATTGCGGCGTGGCCATCTGGGGGATGATTTCTTACTCTTCGTCTCTTTCTGGTGAGCGCACGCGCCCTATAGCAAAAACCTCTCCAAAAAAAAAGGAGGGGGGAGGAAGGACGACCAAATCTCATTAAGAACAAAAACAAAAGGGTGGATCCCGGGGATGTGAATGAGCACAGTTACAGGACAGACAGTCCTTGTGGTACAGGGTCAGAGCAGAGATCTCAGGGAGACCAAGAGGAACTGAAAGGGTGGGTGGGGACACGGTCCTCTACTGCGCCTCGATGGCCTGAGGGGTGAGCGGCCAATCAGAGCTCTCAGCTGCCGCGTTCAAGCCAATCCTGTGCTGCCGCGCCAGGGCCACCCGGGCAGGGGCGCCGTTGGTGCCGTTACTGCCCCTACCTCGTAGAAAGGTCGGAGGACAGGGCAAATGAGATGTCGGTGGGACCACCCTGCCGAAGTCCCTGAGCGGAGGATGCGCTGTTTCCGGTTCGGTCCTGCTGCTGCGCCGACCTTGCAGAAAACCCGGTCCTTAGTTTCCTGCGGTGTGCAGTCTCCACCGACAATCAGCAATTCATCCCCAGGATTGCTCCAGTCTCTGTGATAACGGACCAGCCTTCCCGGTGAGCGTGGAGGATGGAAGAAGAGACTGAGATCCAGGATGAGACAGAAACTGTGGAGAAGACCACCAGTGCGGGAGGTACGGGGACAAAGGTCGTGAGCCGGCTGGCGAACTGCAATCCCCGTTGTTGTCTAGCATCCCCACCCGATCCCAGCTTCGAGTCCATAGTGCGAATCAGGCTTCATTAATAACGCACGCGCACGCACGCACGGACCCCACTCCAACAAAACGCCCCTGCTTAGTGAAGGCCACATTTCACTACAAGACTGCAGGTACTGCTCTAGAAACAGGGCAGAATGGATAAGAGAGCTCTCAGTGGCACAGAACAGCGGTCCGAGGCCCTTTAAAGGCTGTTGCTGCTGGTTTGGGGTTTATTTGTTTGCTTGCTGTGTATTTAAGTCTTGCAGAATCAACAATGGCATGTGTTTTCCTTAGGTACGATAACAAAGAAGATGCTAATCATTTCAAGTTTGATATGTGGAGCTATGGCTGTTCTTCTTTGGGGCATTTTAGGATTTCCTCAAAAACGTAAGTGAATAATTTCTGCTAAGCAATATTATTTGTTATTATTATCAACTCAGTAAGTTACCAATGAGTAGCCTTTCCCTCCCTCTTCAGACTTGGTCACCAGCTTACTTGCAGGAATGATCAGTCTTGGGCTAACAGGTGGCATGGAGATTAAGGCACTGTATTTCACACGGCTGGCTGTGCAGTTCAAGTCCAGGACCTGGTGACTTAAAAATCACAGCAGGGGGAACCAGCAGTTAGCGTAATGGCTATGTCGCTGGACTCCCACGTAGTCAACCACAGTTCACGTCCCAGACCCGGTGGCTTAAAACTCACGCCGGACGCATGTGCATGCGTGCCCAAGATCCTGAGAGGAGAATAGAGGAGAAGGGATTGTGGTGTGGCCATCCCCCCTGGGGGGTGATTTCTCCCTTTCTGTCTCTAATGTCTCTGTCTGTCTGGCGAACGCACGCACCCTATAGCGAAAATCTCTCCAAAAAAAAAAAAAAATCGTAGCAGGCACAGGTGCATGCATGCCCCAAATCCCAAGAGCAGTATGGAGGGGAAGGGACTGCAGCTTGTCCATCCCCTCTGGGAGGGCTGATAGTATGGAGGGGAAGGGACTGCAGCTTGTCCATCCCCTCTAGGAGGGCTGATTTCTCACTTGCATGTACACTTTCTCTCACTTTCTCTCTCTCTCTCTCACTTTCTCTCTCTCTCTCTCTCTCGAGTGCACATGCCCTATAACAACAACAACCAAAAAGAATACTCAATCTTTGGATAAGTACTTTTTTATCTTCAGGAACAGTGCTAGGTGCTGAGATACAAAAATTTAAAAAATGGGATTTCTTGTCTGAAAGGGATTTATCTTTAACAAACATGTAACCAAACGACTATAACATAATAATAACTACTAAATAGAAGCATGTTCAAATTGAAGCAGCAGAGGAGATTATAAATTGATTCCCACAGTAGTAAAGGAAGGCTTTTTGAAGGGAGAAGCGATTGTGCTGAATCTTAAGTAGCTCTTTTCCAAGAATTCCTTAGAAAGAGCATAGATGTCAGAGAATCACACCAGGTGTAAGTGTGATGTAGTTGAAATGAAGTATGGTGGGACTAGCAATTCTATTCTATTTCACTAGTACATTAGCTCTCTTCTTCCCACTGGTATTTCCTTTCTTTCTTTTCTTTTCTTTTTTTTTTTAGAGAGAGATTTTTACTACAGGGTGCATGAGCTTTCCGGAGAGACAGAGAGAGAGAGAGAGAGAGAGACAGAGTGACGGAAAGTAAGAAATCACACCCCCACAAGGGGGATTCCACGCTGCAATTCCTTCTCCTCCATCCTCTTCTCGAGGTTTTGGGCACCCCCACATACACATGCCCGGCATGAGTTTTAAGCTGCCAGGTCTGGGACTTGAACCATGGTCAACTACATGGGAGCCCAGCAATGTAACCATTACACCACCTGCTGGTCTTGTGTTATTCCTCTTTTATCTCCAAACTTTTAACACACTTTTCTTGATCCTCACTCTCAGGTCTGTACCCGTGTTTTCTACTTGTTCTAGTTGTAACAGCTAGTATAAACTTGTACATGTTCCCATCACACCTACTTACTAACTTGTCTCTACCCAGGTACTCTGCCTTGACTTCCGGTACTATAAATGCAGCGTTCATGTTCTGCCTTAAATCCGTTTTCTCTTGCTTGATAAATAGTATCACTTGAGTAACTCTCTTCCTCTCACCATCATTTCTTTATGTGTAACTAAAACATCTCTATCAGCAATACAACATGACGATGTCTATACTCCCGATATTAAATACACACACACACACAAACAGACATATAAGCACACAAAAAACTCATGAAATCCCGTTCTTCTTTATGCTACAAACTTATTTTCTTCTAGGTACAATAGCATCCCTGAAAAATTCCCTTTAATAATTCGTTTTCCTAATTTTTTTCCCCCTCATTTTGTACTTAATACACTCTGATCAGAGTTCCATATATGCTCTTGCCACCAAATTTGTCTTTCAAGGTCACCAGTAACTTCCATACTGTTAAATCCCAAGGTCTACTTTTAATCTTCATCTTATGTGACTTATCTGCGCTCTTTGGCACTACCTCTTCCTGAAAATAGTTTCTTCGCTTGACTCGTAAGCATCATATTTTCATGGTCTGCTTCCAACCTAACATATTATTCCTTTCAGGTTTTCATTATTTGTTCCTTCTTTTCCTTCTGGCTTCTTAACTCTGGTGTGCCCCAGGGCTCAGTACTTTGACAGGTCCCCATTCTGGGTCTCCTTGCATTCTTGGTGATCTCAACTAGACATTACTTACCACATTGAGTATCGGTGACTGCCAAGTACACAATTCCAGTCTGGGTCTCCTTCCTGAATTCAAACTTTAAAAATTAAGTCCCTGTACCTACGTGACTGTCAGTAAAATAAAGATCTCAAACTTAACATTGTCTAAGTTGAACTCTCTCTGACACATCTCCTTTATCTGTGGTCCTCTTCATCTCAGAACTAGTAACTTTATCTTTCCAGTTTAGAAGCCAAAACCTTATAGTCTCTCTTTCTCTTTATGAGAGAGAAGGGTAGGAAAAGAGGGAGTAAAACAGAAGAGAAATAAGTATTTCTGACAGTCTCACTGCACTGTGACCCACCTGCCTCAGCCTCCCAGTTAGCTAAGGTTACAGGTGTGTGTCACTGTCTGGCCCGCTTTAGACTGCTCTAGGAACCAGACCTGAGCCCCCCATGGAGTTCCAGCTTTGCTTAGTGGGGCCTTCCATTTGCACCACTGTGGTTGGACTTTCATAGTCATATATTTTTATTTTCCTTCTCATGTTCCAAATAAAATTAGAAAATTCTGGCTAGTATGCCAAAATATAACCAAAATCAGAGGGCTTTTCACCATCTCAGTCATTGTCTTCTTTCTTCTAGTGTTTATCCCTCTTCTACCTTTGACCCCCGAGAATGTCACTGCACAGTGAAACTATAATGCCTGCTGAAATGTGGTCCATAAAGGTGATTTACATTCTTAGAAGACACACTAAACAGTGAAAGGAAGCACGTTGAAATAGTTTTAATTATATTTTTTACTTAACCCAAGATAACAAATCTTTTATCATTTCGCCATGTAACAACAGAACAGTTATTAATAAGGTTTTCACATTTCAATTCTTACTAAGTCTTCATATTCCATATGTATTTTATACTTACAGCCCAACTGAATTTGAACTAACCATATTTCGAGTGCTCGGTAGCCACATCCGGCTAGTGTCTACCTTATGGGTCAGTTCCAAAGTCTATTTTTAACAAAACTAATCAGGTCTGTTGAGGATCCTGTAATGGCCTTTCATTAGCTTGGAGTAAAGGTCTACCAATGGCCTCAAGGTCTTCTTGAATCCAATCATCCCATTACCTCTCTGATTTTATCTCCTACTATTTGTCTCTTCACTCAATCTTCTCCAGTCACATGAACATCCTCACTATTTTGTGAACAAGTCAGGCATACTCACCTTGGTCCTTTGTAAAATTTCTTGCTGTTGCTTGAGAAGATCTTCCTCTGTAACATGCATATGCCTCATTTGCATACCTCCTTCAAGCCTTTTACTAAATATCACCTTCTCATTTGATCCTACCCTGATTACTGTACTAAAATTACGACTCTTTCCACCAACAATCCTGATTCTTTTTGCTGTGATCTATTTTATGACAATTAATTGTAGATATGTAAGTCCCATAAGAGCTACATTTGTGTATGCTATATATACTGTTGAATTTCCAGAGCTACCAAAAAATGCATGTGGTAGATGCTCAACTCATATTTGTTGAATGTACAAATGAAATAATTAATGAATTAGTTAATGAATGAGAAGATTGGTCTTCTGGTAACCCAAAGTTTGAACTAAACACTTGCATTAGTTGTTGATTTCAACCTGACAATTTAAAATAATTTTGCTTTTGATGCTCTGAAATATTCTTGGTGACCTGATTTGATACCTGGTCTGCCCGTATGCAAATCCACACTAGTTTTACTCTTCTATGTGTAACTCTTCCCATGAATGAGTTTGACTTGAACACTCATTTATTTGAGCTGTGAAGTGATACTCTCAAATCTTGTTTTTTTCTCAGGGTTAAACTTTAATAAGTAACTTCATTTAGCCTATGCAATAAGTTAAGGAGTAAAATGTGAATAGTATAAAGCTAGTAAAATTCCAGCATTTTTCTTTCCTTCCAGTATGTAAGGGCAAAGGACAAAGAAATAGCTTCAACTCTTGGAGAAATGCTGTTTTTGGAAAACAGTTAGTCTCGGTTAAGTCAATAATAAGAAGTAAGTCCTCGTAATTATGAACACAGGGAAATCTGCTTATTTACAGTGAAACTTGGCCTAGATGGCATGGCAACTCTTAAAAAGAGAAATGAATTAATAAAGAAAATTTCAATCCTATGGGAAAAAAATGAGAGAGTAAATGCCTAGAGGATATTGCATTTTGGGGAATTTGTGTATAATTGTTGTTTTAAATGGTGCATAAATCTTCCTTCTACAGTGTTAAGTTTTTTCATGCTCTGTTTGTGATACTCAGTTTTTCTTGAGCTGATGTTTAAAGATAAATCATTCAAACTGAATAGGGAAGTAAAATGTATTCTATCAGTCCAAACTATATGAGTGTCTTTTATGCTGAAAGTCAAACTCTTCCTTTCTCATACTTTCTTTATTTAAACATTTTTTTCCTCTATCATATGTCAATTTTAGTTGGAATATCAAGGATATTTAAAGAAAACTCATGCTTAGAGGAATTAACTATATGTCCAGAAGGCTGGATTCGAATTAATAATACTTGCTTCTTTAAATATGAAAAAGAAGCAACTTGGAAACTTGCACAAGACAGCTGCAGAGCCTCTCATGCATCTCTGGCGAAGGTCATTTCCCAGGAAGAAATGGTTAGATTTCTGCTTTGCAATATTAATCCATTTAACTAACTGAGCAGCTAGTATATAATAGACATATTTCTAGGGTGTGGCACATTAGTCAACAAAACAATCAAAGATAGTTGCCCTTGTGGAGCTTTCATCCTAAGGAAAGAGAAAAGCAATGAAAACTAATCACAATAAATATGTAAAGCATACAGTATATTAGAAGTTAGTGTGATGTAAAAACTTATATAAATTAAAAGATATAATGAGCCTGCCAGGTGAGTAGGCTGCAGAGGAGGTCTACGTCATTGAGATGATGACATTTGAACAAAGATGGGAAGCAATTAGTCAAGGGAGTATCTGAAGCATGAGCTTTCCAGGGAAGGGAACAACAGGAGCACAGGTCTTCCTGCAGGTGCATGTCTGAAATACTAAAGGAAAGGAAAAGAGGCCGCCAGTCAGCGTGTCCAAAATGTGGGTGAGAATGAGGGATGTCAATCACTAGGATCGTGCAGGCTATTTTAAAGACTTTCATTTTGTGCTTCAAGTAAGTAGGGAGATAGTGCATAATTATGAGCAAAAGTATAATATAATCTGACTGAAGCTTTCAAAGAATCGTTTTCTTTGCTGCGATGAACTTGGCTACCGAGCGGGCAATGTAAAGGCAGGGAATGGCATTATCAGGCAGTTGCAATAACCCTGGCCAGAGAATAGTGCACTCAGTCAAGGGCAGTAGCACTGGAGGTAGTGAGAATGAAGAAAACTAGGAGCGATCCATTACAGCACTCTGTCTTTTGTAAAAGGAGTCTTTGATGCAGAATCTGGGGTCTTCTTCATATTGGTTTGGACTGCACAAACACAGTGAGCACAAATTCTGGATGTGGGCAGATGGATCTATGTACACCAACTGGTAAGCCTTAAGACCTTTCCTTAGTATAAAGTGTGTTAAAGCTGGCAAAGATTCTGAGTCTGTAATAACCCCCTCTGCGGTTTTCTCTACACCATCCATCCCCCTGAAAGACCTTTCTTCAACAAATAGATACCAAAGAGAACCTGCAGACACATTCACGTTCTTCAGTGAGAGTCTGGGATCGTATACTGATACCTGCCTCTCTAGGCGACCCTGGACTCTACCATGTGCATGGCACAAGTGTGCCATTTATCCTAGACGAGACACAGGTCTCGGTGACCCTTGCCCCTTTCCACTTGGGACTTTGCCTTTTGTTTGTTGTTGCTTGACCTCTCATGGACATGAGAAGAATGTTTGTAAACAAAGCAACTAGGTTCTGTAGTATACTACAAAAAGGAATATATATGATTTCTTATATATATGATTAACACATACATATTAATCATATATATGTTAATCATATATATGTGTACACATACATATACTTTTTTTCAAAGAAAACTAGTAGAATGAAATTTGAAGGTATACAGCATAGTATGGTGTTCTTGGCTGAAGCTGCTGAATACGATAACATCCTTGATTTCATGATCACACACCCTGCGCATGCTTTGAAAAACTACGTTGTACTCCACAAAGACACACAACAACTAAATGTGAGTAAGAAATTATAAAATGAAATGAATAAATAAGGGAGTATACTGAAGCCTAGACTTCCTATACTCACCTGTAGCCTGGTATGGAAGAGAGTAAATTGGAAAAAGACCATCTTTACCATAGATTACCTTTATTTAAAATTCCGGAATTTCTGTGTATTCTGTGTAGTTTGAAGAACTAATTGCCTTCTTAGCTCCCGTTTTTTGTCCCCGAAACATTTACATTTTTCTAACTTCAGGGCAGAGAAAGCAGAGTGAGGGACGCTGAGCTCTCCAAAGAGGGCGCCATGAGGTGTAATTTACGAGCGCTTACGTCGACGCTGAGCTCTCCAAAGAGGGCGCCATGAGCTGTAATTTACTGACCGCTTACGTTGTGGGAGATACTAGTTCTGTGGTATTTTTGTGGCCGACATGATATGACATATATGACATGGTAAAGTTAATAGCAGAAGTTTCTAAATGTAGAGAAACTTTTCCTGTGTTCATTGTATTAACATCCATCTGGGAGTGAAAATACACAATGGTTGAGAGCAATGATAACGTTTTTAACATTTTTTTGTTTTTTGACAGAAAAAGGGAAGTTTATTGAGAGAAAGAGTGCCCGGGGGGCTCGGAAGCTAGAGGTGCTTCGGCCCACTCTGTTGAGGAGACGTGGTATATTTGTATGGGAGGTGAAGAGGTAGGGTCACAGGGATGGTGGGTCCTTTGATTAGCTGACTTGTCACTTATCTGCCCATCTATGGGCATCACCTGCCAGTAAGGGTAAGCTCTAGTCAGAGGATTCTGGCCAGAGGTTGCTGCAACCATCCCCATATTTTCTGACAGGAAATTACCTAAAGGTCATTCAGGTGCTGACCTAACATTCCCAGACTTCATCTTTTGTTTTTTAAAAAAATGTCCAGTTAGCAGGCAAACACTGGTTAGTAGAGGAGCCACAGTAAAACAAGCCAGCATTAAAAAGGCAGGTTAAAATGTGAAGAGAGATTAGGCCTCAGAACTCTCTGGTTCTCTGTCTTAACACTTTCTTCAAATATTGGCCAACTTGACATTTATAAAATTCCTTTACAAAATTACCTTCCTAATTCTTTTCTCTCTTTCCTGTTTACTATTATTTTTCTATGTTTCTCTCTTCTTAGAAGTTTACTTTTGGTACTAACCTGAACCTCTTATCTAAACAAAAATTAGTATTTCAAAGAGCATGTTTTTATTTGTCACTTTTTAATTTTATTTTTTATTTTTTTAGAGAGCGAGATTTTTTTGCTATAGGGTGTTTGTGCTTGCTGGAGAGACAGAAAGCAAGAAATCATCCCCCAGAAGGGATGGCCCCACCACACTCCCTTCTCCTCCATTCTCCTCTAGAGATTTTGGGCACGCACACACACACATCTGGCATGAATTTAAGCCACTGGGACCTGGACTCAAACTACGATCCACTACAAGGGAGTCCAGTGACATAAACATTGCACCATCTGCTGGGCCATTATTTGTCACTTTAAGGGTTATCTGAAGCTTGCCCAGTGAGACTTCCAGATGTCCAAGGGGAGCTCTTGGAGTATCAGGCTCCATCAGTTCCTCAATTTTAGAAGCCAGCATGGACTCAAAAATCCTGGGCTCCCGTCAGAGTTCAGAGAATTCCTGTCTCTAGTGACCAACTCCTCCACATTGGAGACAAAGTCCCAGTGGAGGCAGATGGGATGCCAGTCATGGGCATTGTCCAGTGCCAAAACCATCTGTATAATCACATCAGTCTAAATTATTTTTTCTTAGAAAGATCTCGTTATAACTCAGTCATATTTCTTTTCCTTTCTTTTCTTTCTTTTTTTTTTTTTGGAGAGGTGTTTTTGCTATAGGGCGCGTGCGCTCGCCAGACAGACAGACAGAAAGATAGAAAGTGAGAAATCACCCCCCCAGGGGGGATGGCCACGCCACAATCCCTTTTCCTCCATTCTCCTCTCAGGATCTTGGGCACACACACATGCCCGGCCTGAGTTTTAAGCCACTGGATCCGGGACTCGAACCACGGTCGACTACGTGGGAGTCCAGTGACATAGCCATTATGCTAACTACTGGTCCCGATAACTCAATCATCTTTCTAAAAACCTTATCTCCCAATGAGTTACATTCTGAGGTACTGAAGTAAGGTATTCAACACCTGAAATTTGTGTGAATGTAACTGAGTCCAGAACAGGTGGAGAGTTTTCAGTTGGGACTAGAGAATGCATAGACATGGCGTGCACATCTGTTTTGGCAAGGAGCAGGATAAAAATTCAAAGGTATCTTGGAAGTTTGGAAAGTGTACATCAGTTCTTCAAAGTTCCCCAAAAGCGAAGTACTAAAATCATTTTAATTATAATAAACCAGAAATTTATTATGACTCACCATGCTATTTCTTCTTTTTGAATTTTAAATTCCATGTTTATATATGACCTAAAATATTAATCCTTTCTAGATATTTTACTTATGTATGTGTGTCATAACCTATCAAATAAAGAATACCTATTTCATGTTGGGGATGGTTCTGAAGAGTGGCTGCACTCAGCCACATGTACAAGAGGACTTCCAAGAATTGATGAAAACAAAGGCATCAAAATATGAATTTATTTTGGTGCAAAAAAGTTGTGAAATCCTTGTGTGGTTTTTCATAATACACATTTTCCCATGAACATTTTGAAGACCTTTATATTTGAGAATTAAGATGATCCCAGAGTGTGTGAAAAGTGTTCAGTGAGGGAACCAGCAGTTAGCGTAATGGCTATGTCGCTGGACTCCCACGTAGTCGACCGCGGTTCGCGTCCCAGACCCAGTGGCTTAAAACTCACACCGGGCGCGTGTGCGTGTGTGCCCAAGATCCCGAGAGGAGAATGGAGGAGAAGGGATTGCGGCGTGACCATCCCCCCTGGGGGGTGATTTCTCGCTTTCTGTCTCTAATGTCTCTGTCTGTCTGGCGAGCGCACGCGCCCTATAGTAAAAATCTCTAAAAAAAAAAAAAAAAAGTGTTCAGTGAAATGTCAGTTATACTCTCCATCTCATTATAATTTCTAAGTGGCTAAGTAAATTGATTTATTAATTGTTATTCTAAAGAATAAAGGGCAGAATACAATCCCTCACAAAAGTATTCACAAAGTTACTACACCATCAAGACACAGAGTTCCAGGACCCTGTTGTTGGTGAATTTCCATAATGTCCAACTCTTCCCACCACCAGTGTCCTGAGTAAAGTTTAGAGGTTGATAATGATGCAGGATATTGGGGTGACTAGGCCAAATACCAGCACAGGATCTGGTTTTTGTCTCACACTCTTGAAAAATTAGAGATGCAGACATGGAAAGGGGATAGCAAAGTGGCGTTTTTTTTATTATTTTTTTATTTTTTGAGCAGTCTTTGCTACAGGGCACATGCGCTCGCCAGGAAGACAGAAAATCACCCCCCAGGGGGATGGCCACGCTGCAATCCCTTCTCCTCTATTCTCCTCTCGGGATCTTGGGCACGCACACACGTGCCCAGCATGAATTTAAGTTGCCGCGTCTGGGACTCAAACCGCGGTTGACTACATGGGAGACCAGCAACATAGCCATTATGCTAACTGCTGGTCCCATGAAGTGGCGTTGATTAAGAACGAGAGAGAAGAACAGAACTCCTGAGCAGGGAAGAGGTCCCAGAAATGGTTGCCAAAGAGAAGCAGGGGCGAAAGGCGTTTACCCCAGCAAGGAGGGACTTCCGCAAGTGTTTTTCTCTTAGGGATTACATGTCAGGTCATTCATGTCATTATCATATTTGGAAGTACGCTCACAAATCACAAGATTTTACACATACAGTTTTTAAATTGTTATTATTTATTATTATTACTGTTGCATTTTTTTAAAATTTGCTGTAGGGTATGCATGCTTACCAGAAAGAGAGAGAGAGAGAAACAGAAAGAGAGAGTGAAAGTGAGAAAGCAAGCCTCCAGGTCCTGAACTCGACTTGCCGTTGGTCATGTGGGAGTCCAGCACCTTAACCACCATGCCACCTGCTGGCCCCAAATAATTAGATCTTAGTTAATTAACATTTAGCCGAAAGACAGTCTGAAGTCTGAGACTCACAAAGTTTTCAAGTTTAAGACAAAGCTTTGTGGTTTTTCTGATGTATTATTCTTTGTGTTTCTAAAACATAACCTCAGTTAGATCCCCTTGTCTTACAGATACAAGTCTGTATGTCATGTTCCCATTTCCCAAATTATAGCCCATGGTGAGTTATTGTTCAAGGTCCTTTGCTGTGTTGCTTTCCAGACCAAGAGAGACTTCACTCTTTGTTTGGAATGTAGCAGTGATAGGGAAAACAGTTTTAGCTGTCATAATCTCCAGCAGGTTGTGAGCAGCTCTGGCTATAAGGCGTTCTCTGTGTGCAAGCACTGAGAGCTAATAATGGATTTCTTTTGAGAACCATGAATCTTTTTTTAATTAATTATGTATTTAATTTTATTTATTCATTCATTTATTTTAATTTGAAGACACACACACACACACACACAGAAGGAAAGCAAGCCAACAGGTTCTGGACTTGAACCTGGGTCGGCCATGTAGGAGTGTCCAGCACCTTAACCACCACACCACCTGCTGGTCCCATCTGTGAATAATTTCTATTAAAAGCTTGACCAGAGTGACTCATTGTGTAAGTTGGCTCCAGCCCCAACCTATCTCTTACTCAACAGAAGGTGAGAAGCAGCTATTGCACTCCTCCACTCCTTCCACCTCCCATACTTGGAAGCATGGTCACCAAGGTTTACCTTCTGCAATTGAGGCTATGCCCAGTTATTTTTTTCATGAAACCTAGCAAATAAGAATGAATCTTTGTTTTGTTCCAGGTTCAATATTGAAGAACACGGCGACTGTACCTTCATAAGTAAGAAAGGCATAAGTAGTGCCAATTGTGATGAAATAAAAGACTATATTTGCAGCAGAAAAAGCTACTGTCCTTAGATAATGACTTCTCTCACACAGGAAATAAAGTAATTTAAAAAGAACCTATTCTTTCTTATGCATTATAAATCAATATGGATGCATTTTTCTTCCCTTCAAACATATATTTTAAGTTGATAATGAAACCTTAAATGGTCTTGAATCTCCATTTGAATAATTATCAAGTCTGGAAATTAAGCTAGGTTGGAGAGGGAACGTGAGAAGTCTTCCCCCAGGGGGAATAGCCACACTGCAATCTCTTCCTTTCTCCTCTGGGGATTTTGGCCACATACACATACATCCAACATGGTTTTCAACCTAGGGAGTCCAGGACTCAAACTGCGGAGCTGGTCACGTGGGATCCAGCACCTTAACCATCACGCCACCTGCTGGCCCCATTGAGTTAAATTTTACATGGTGTTACTGCACTCGGGGGTGCAACAGTTAGTCTTGTCAGTGCTGATTCTCCAGCAGTGCCTCGATGGAACAGATTAGAGGGTAAAGGGGAAGGGAGTGAAACCTATCTTGTCTGGAATGAAATTCAGCCTGCCTTAACGGATAATGAAATGCAGCATTCAGTGAGCACTAAGAATATTTTGCTCGGCCTGGAGTGGCATGTGAGCCATCTAGAATTGGAGAAGAAGGCCCATGGAGGAAACATTCAGAGATTGGTTAGCATTCTCTCCCTAGTTCCACCCTCAGAGACCAGAGCCCCTGGAGATAAAGTTCATACCGAACCATGAACAAATTGCTGTGATTTCCTAGATCCTTAGCCAAGCAACTGAACGGAAGAATTACGTACACTAAATGGATGTGTTGTTACTGAAACTAGTGAAGGAATAAGGTTTTGTGCTGTGAATCATGGAGCAGAACTTGACTGTTTAGAGATGGAGAGGAAGGAAGTCCTGATGAGGAAGAAATCATGAAGATCTCTCCAGGGTCTCACAAAACTATGGAATCGAGAGCCCAGGTAATCCTTCCACAGGCCTCGAAGGGGCGGCGGGTTAACATCTGGCTAATCTCTACTCTGGTAGTATTTTACTTTAACCTAGCTTTATATTCATTTTCACATTTACTAATATAATGAGTCATTCTCTTTGGAGCATTCACTCACACCATGAGCTATGCTAAACTGTTTCTTCCTTCATTAGTACCTTTTTTATATCTTTTATTACAAATGGGGCATATGGCAACTATCTACCCAAGACTATATGAGATTTACCACGTTTTGGGACCAGCAGTTAGCGTAATGGCTATGTCGCAGGACTCCCACATAGTCGGTCTTTTCTTTCTCTACGGGGACTGGGATTCCATGGTGTATAAAATGTGTTAGCAGATTAAATTCAGGCTTTGTTAAAATATAACTTGTACGCTGTGCAAGAATAAACTTTTCTTCTGATTACTGTGCCACGACAGATGACTAGCATCAACCAAAAGGGAGTGTGGAATGGGACCTGTGCATTCTGAAGGTCATGGTTTAAGTAACTTCACTAGAGACCTCAGAGTGATGACTCTCATCAGACGGCTACCTCCGTGCATCTCCTACTGATGAGACTGCCATCCAACTGTCCTGAGATGGAAATGACATTAGAATGAGTGCCCAGTGATGAATATCGGGTAGATGAGGAAAGAGAAGGGACCGAAGGATGGGGTTGGGAGTGAACCTGAACATGATCATGATGGACAGAAATCTGGACATTTTATAAAGCATACTTTTCCAGGCTAGGCAAGTATATTTCATCCCCTTCCACCCTAATGTAAATACCAGCATGAACCTATTTTAAAGACTTTTGTTCCCGTATAGGGCATGTGCACTCACCGGAGAGACAAAGAGACAGAGAGAGGGAATGAGGAATCACCTCCCAGGGAGAATGGTCATGCCACAATCCCTTCTCCATTCTCCTCTTGGGATTTTGTGCACACATACA